ATACCCTGTCCGGAAAGATGCGAGGCGAAAAATGGACTTGAAATGCGCCAAACGCAGAAAAAGAGGTTTTCAAAGAAATTAAAGATGTAGTGTGCTTTTTTTTCAATTATATTTTACGCTTTCTTTGATTATGTGTCGTAATTGAGTTGTGTTTAAATGCGCCAAAATCGGCGTTCCGTAACGGCAGCCATGTTAGATTTTGTGTTATTTTTTATGTTTTTTATAATCATTTATTTTTAAGCAGTCTTCGAAAGTGGGAACCATCAGCAGCAGCTTTGTGAGCGGATGCTTTCTGTTGATACTTGCTACCCCCCTCCCCCCACCTCTGACTGCGTCCGGGTATTTCCGCTTTCTCCATAGAGTTAATTTGGGTGGGGCATGAAGAGGGGATGAGGCGGGGGAGTCCTGATTTCCATAAATTTGTTACTAGAAAACCTGTTTTCCTGCTTTTTTTTAAAAAAAATTCTTTGTTTATAAATGTAGTTTGTATTTCGAAGCTGTCGCAGTCAGTTGTATTTTTTGACTGATTTTTTGTTAGGTTAATTACGGTGGTCTCCTGTGAAATTCTGGGGTAAGAAAGACATCTGGCTAATCTTCCCTGTCTCCTCCTCGACCCTCCCCCCTCTCTCCTCCCCCGGAGTTTAGCTTCTTTAGACGTAGATTACATTTTTTAGCAGGGTTTTTTGGAGGGTTGCCTTTTTAAAGCCTTACTTAGCTGTGATTTTCACAACTTTTTGGCCGAATTTTTGGCATTTTTTGTAAGAATTTCACATTGTTGTGGCTTAAGTTTTTTTTTTTCCGACTTTTACTACTGCTACAGTTCCTTGCCTTCAGCTACCACTCATTAGCACAGATTTCCTCAATTCTGAGGTGTCGAAGACGTTTGGCTCCCTCTATCCCCTCGAATTTCGCATAATTTTGCTTCTGCGACCTGCGATCTTCAGCACTCACTATTGCTAAACCAGCTTCTTTTGAACTACTAATTATAGTAGGTTTCTCATCTGTTATCAAAGCAAGCCGTGGGTGTGTATGTGTGTGTGTGTGTGTGTGTGTGTGTGTGTGGGTGTATGCGTATGTGTGTGTGTGGGTGTGTGTGGGTGTGTGGTGTGGGTGTGTGTCTTACGAAAATCCCCACCGAACTGTTAAGTAAATTGTCTCCAATGAATTAGTTAAAATGTCAGTGAATAGTTAAATAGATCATGCCTAGTAACTTACTTGAATACTTAAGCAGCTGTATGTCATCGATGCAGCACTGGCAACTTTTCCATTCAACTCGTTGTTGTGCTCTCCGAGTCCACGTGGTACCATACAGGCGTACCATTGGGTCTCCCCACCTCACTGATGGCCTACCCAGTGTTCGCTTGACCGTACGTGGGTACCATTCCATTATCCGCTTTGTCCATCTATTATCCGCTTCGCCAGCAGTGCCCAGTAAATGTTGGCATTATTGTCATTGTACAAAAGCAGCAGCAGTACGGAGAAGCTTCCTCCTTCCAGCAATGCATTTTGTTGTTTTTATGTGTCCTATCAGAGTGCAAGCAGCTGGACAGAAGAACGAGGACGGTCAGGATGTGAGAGAGGGTCCAGGCAAGGGGAAGGGAGAAGGGGGGGAGGGGGGGAGGGAAAGAGGAATGAGATCGAGGAGGGGGTGTTTCGTTTCGCACTTTTGCTTACGCATTATGGCCTATAAAAGGAGCAACAAA